GCTGTGGGTTGGTCGGTGTTGTCACACGCAGGTCCTCTGAGCCTTTTGTCGAAGCAAGCTGTGGTGGGGAAGGGGGAAAAAGGGTGCTGTCCCTTCACCCTTCGCTCGGTCGGTCTGAGCTTCCTCCACATGTGCGCTTAGTGGAAAAGCAGCCGTGAATGAACTAGAAAAAGCCAAGGGCAGCATGAGAGCCTGTGCACAGGAGGTGTGGGGGAAGTGGTCTGCACCAAGCAGCAGTTTGGTTTCCCCTATTACTCAGTGGGCACCCTGAGCTAAATTAATGCTCTTCGCTAAACACGGTGTCGCTGGACGTGAGTGGGAGATCTCTACAGCACACACACCAGCTAAAGCCAGTCAGGGGAGAAACCAGAGTAAGGCTGGCTGCCAAGGGAAGTGCTAAACATGCACCCAGTTTTCAAACTTGGATAGCAGCTGAGTCCATATTTAAACACCTAATTAGCCACTGCAGGCTCCGGTTTGAAACTTGGCTTCTCATTACTTTTTAGAAATACATTGCCCCAGCATGCAAGGGAGGCTGCTGCCAGAGACAGCACCATGGAGATGAGTGGCAAAATCTGCTTCTGGTGGGAAAAAAAAAATAAAATAAAAAAAAAAAAAAACAACAAGGCACTCACTCACTCCACTTCTATTTTGACAAAAATACAGAACAATGCCTTTATATTCTCCTCTCCTCTCTATTTTTTGTAATGACAATTCAAAGTTGTCAAAGTTTGCAAGTTGAAACCTGCAAAAAATCTGAAGCCAAAAATAAGAATTTCTGCAAAAAATTAATTGCACAGAAAATACGTAGCCTGCCTTATTCTGATCCCTTATTCATCAGTATAGGTTCAATAAAACATTATTTTAAAAGGAAGGAGAAGGTCTTGTATATTGCTGTTCTCTTGGGCAGATTTCAAAGCAGCTAATTAAATTCTGTCTGCCCTAACTCCTTCTGTAGTTTTCATTTAGTGAGTTGTGCATTGCCCTATTTTATCAGCACCAACTTGGCAAAATGCTATGGAGGAGCATCCCCCAGGGGAGACTGTTTTCTGCGGCGGGAAGAGTGGTCCACAGAGACCCCCACTCAAATGAGTGGGTGAGCAGGAACTTCTTCAAGCTACTGATGCCAGGCACACCACTCCTTCCCACTGGAGTTCTTCCCACCGAGTCCTTGCTCCATTTTTCCTAGCTGTTGACCATGCACAGGCTTGCTGTACCACAGCACGTGCTGTCTGGCACACCTTGAGCTTGGTGGGCAGTATTTATTAGGACGGATCCCTGGGCAGTTGAACACCAGTACGTCCTAGATCTAGCCAACTGGCCAGAGTGCTTATATAACCCCGGGAGCTGGGAGCTACTGGTCTTTTGCCTGGCTGACCACCTAGTTAGGAAGTAGAATTTCTCAGCTTGAGAGTCTGCCTGCCTTGCTGTGAAGCATCAGTACCCTGCGTCCTCAGGAGTCCAAGTGTCAGAGGCACCTCGCGGGCACGGGTGCACCGGCACATTTTGCTGGTAAGCTGGGTTCCACTTTGTTGGCCTCTTGTATGCACTTTCATTTCAGAAAGCTTTTAGAGCCTTGAGAAGAGGAAGGCAATGTGGAAATGTGTAATGTCAATATTATTTTCTTTAGTATACCATTATACTTTCATTCAGTGTAGAAAATGTACAGACAGAGCACAGAGCATCAGGAGAAGCTAGATTTAGATGCATAGGCTTTAAAGCCAGATAATGTGTAAGAGGAATACATTTTATGACTGTAAACTGAAAGAGAATATACTTAGATTGGACATAAGGAAGAAATTTTTTATGATAATACAGTGGTGAGACACTGGCCCCGGGTGCCCAGAGCAGCTGTGGCTGCCCCCTCCCTGGAAGGGTTCAAGGCCAGGTTGGACGGGGCTGGGAGCACCCTGGGCTGGGGGAAGGGGGCCCTGCCCGGGGCAGGGGGGTGGGAACCAGATGATCTTTAAGGTCCCTTCCAACCCAACCCATTCTGTGATTCCACCTGTGTGTGCATGGGAGATGCTCTTGTGGTACAGCTACAGGAGCCTATATGCTCATATTTTTCTGATGCATAAAGTCAAGACTGGATGTAGTGAAAACAGGTAACCAGTGTTGATTTTGTTTTTCCGATGTGGCATTTAGACTTCTAATGAGGTCTCACAAACAAAGCAGTCGTTCAACGAAAATTCTTGTCAGTTCTGTGTCACAGGTTATTCCTCTGTCTTATGTAGTCCATTGATGTCAGATTCCTGGAAAGCAAAAAGCACACACAGAGGAAATAGGAAGAGAGCAGGTAATCATTTCAGGGGTTCTGCCAAATGTGTCTGCTCTGTGTATCCAACCTTATATCCTTCACATCTATAGTATGTTATTGAAGTCTGATTCCCCACTGCCTTGCAAATGATTTGCATCTCTGCACTGTGATATAAAAGGCTTCCTTGCTGATTGGATAGCTTTTTATATCTTCTCAGCACTCGTGTTTCTCTGACATAGATATCTATGCAAAGTACAAGGCTTGTGAGGATCCGGCCCCTTGTAGTTCATGCTTCGTTGCCACAAGGTAAGTCAAAACAGCACTAGCACAAAATGTGGGAATGGGAAGTGATGAGGAGCGTTCACTGTCCTCCTGCCTGGCATCTGAGGGTTACTGCAGGCCAGACTAGACCCAGGCAGAACAAGTCAGAGTAGTCCCCAGCCCTGTTTCCCTGCTTGCCGAACAAGATCACTCTAACTCGACTCGGGAAGCTTGTCCCGTGCCCCGGCTTGAGTTCTCTGCTGGTGAGGGACTGGTGGCACTGATGGAAAGGTGCCAGGGTTAGCTGGCTGCCGGAGGCAGCTCTTCGGATGAGAGCTTCTTCCCATGGGTGGCGTGAGCTCTGCCCCGCACCCCTGCGCGAGGGAAGCTCGTGGTGGCTGAGGATCTGGTCCTTCGAGTTAAAAGGGTTGAAACATGCACGAAGCATAAGGTGACATTTTGAGTGTCTCAGATCAGAGCGCGGACGTTACTGAATTGAAAATGTAACTGCAATTTCCTGACTAATGCCGAGTCACTTTTATATTCATGCAGTGATTGTTCTTTATTCTTAAAATAGCCCATTATACCCTGAGGCGCAGGTGATATCTTTATGATGATGGAGCTACGTTATCCAGCACATTACAGCTCAGGCCATTGTTTGGTGCAAAGGCTGTTTATGATCAGCTGTCCTTTTTTTATTCTCTCTCAATTTATATGCTTTTGCAGCCTGTTTGTTTGAGGTTTGCTTGAACAAGGATAGATCAGGAGAAAGATTTTTTTTAAAAAAAAGAGATGCACTGGAGATTCAGTGTTGTTGTGTCTTACTTCCTGTAGCTGAGCTGTACAATTTACCATTGTGTCTCCAAGTTTCTGAATCCATTCAGATAACACGAGCAGTTAAACTGCTCCAGTAGCCTTATACCTCTTCAGAGAGTCAGCCTGTTTGTTAGCACCCAGGGCTTTCTATGGTGAAGTGTACAGGATATTATAAACAAGGTATTAAACGAGAACAAGATAACAAAAAGAACCCTGAGACGTATTTGCTATTCATTCAAAATAAAAACCTTGCAGGTAGTAGCAAGCACAGAAAACCGAAGGCAGGCTTTTGGGCAGAGTAGGAGCAATCCCAGCCCGGGCATTTGCTGCGCTAAAGGTGAAGGTGTAGAGGATGGAGCTGTAGCCGCGGCTGTCACAGAGGCAGGACGACAACTAGGGGGAAGGAGAGAGCTGGGAAAGGAAGATCTGCTCCTGGGTGGGTGCCCCGCTATCTCCCTCCAACAGCGGCAGCTGCTGCCCCACGGACCCCAGCGCCTGGCTCCATCCACAGCAGTGGCAGCAGCAACCAGTGCCGCTTCCCCGGGCTCTGGCAGAGGCAAAGGGGATGGGGACCAGAGCTCTTTTGCTGCCCCCCAGGAGCCTGTCACTTTAGGCTCCCGCCTGCTTTGCCTATGAGCTGTCTGTAATGCCAGGAATTACCTTTGGTTCTGCTAAGCACAGAAAAGGTTAGATGAGAGGCTGTGGTGATTACAAGAGTGCATTGTCACGGCATAGGAATTTGTGGAAGTGATGCTGAGGCCTCAGTCGGGAGGAGGATTTTAAGTGACATACCTGCTAATTTGCCCGGAACTAGCCTTCATATTAAAAAAAAAAAAAAAAATAATACTGCTACCTGCATGCAGTGAAACCCAACTAATCAGCAATTCCTAGAAAGTTTGACTTGAAAGAAAGGCAGATTCATCATCCAGATGAGAGAGGTGCACAGGAGTCTCAACAGGTAGTGTTTTACCATAACTCCCAGTATTTGTGTGCCTTTGCCATACCTCCTGCTTAGCATAGACCCAACCAGCCGCCTTTGCTTTCAAGGCTGTGTATGGCATAACTGTGATTACACTTGCAGCACCCTCCTTACCCCATCTTTTTATCCGTCCCTTTATCTGTGCGTAATCCGGTGTGTCACTGGGGCAGGTGAAATGATTACCTTACTCATCTGTACTGTGCCCAACACAGGAGCCTTTGTCAGAAACTAGTAGGTCCTGCTGCAGTACAAATAATAATAACCAGGAGTAGTATGATCAGGCACAGATTTACTGGGTGGTAGTAGGGTATACACATGTGGGAAGCGGGCAATGAGGAAGAGGAGAGTAGTTTGAGGGCCTCTAGGTGATAATATCCCGGAGATTGGTGCCTCCGCATTTCTAGTTTAAATAGTTTGACATAGAGATTCTGGCAGCTACCATGTAATTTTATTTTAATTTTTTTCCCAGCCATAAATCAGACTTGGTGTCTGATGGAATAATCACCAGAACTCCAGCAAACAGCACACCTGCCAGTGATAAGCTGTTTCTTCTGATGACTCAATGTATACCTGTTTATTTGTTTGCTGGATATTGCAAAATGCAGTCCATTTGATGTTTGTGCAATTCTGCTTTCCTTCTGATTGTTTTTTTGTGCATCTCCCTCTCTTTTTCTCTCCTGTATACAGATGTTCGTATTCACCCCATGGAGCCTATGCCCAAAGCAAACTTGCCCTTGTGTTATTTACCTATCAACTACAGCATCTTCTGACTGCAAGTGGAAGCCATGTGACTGCTAATGTAGTAGACCCTGGAGTAGTGAATACCGATCTCTACAAGCATGCCTTTTGGGCTGTAAAAGTGGCCAAATGGATGACAGCCTGGCTATTTTTCAAGGTATGCAGTTTTTTACATCTTTTTGTTGCTGTGCCCCGCGTTGTGAGAGCTATAGTCAGCACAGAGCTGAAAGTGTTTTGGAGTTTATCATAATGTGGGGTATTTATTGCATTTCTCTGTGCTGATGAGATGTACAAAATTGATGAAGACGGTCCTTTCTCAGAACAAATATTTATTTTAAATGGAGGGAGCGAGCTCGCACAGTAAGGGAAGGGAATGCCTTTCACTGTCTGACCATTCACTGACTATCTCTGCCCTGATCTACCCGTGTGCCTTTGTGTGTGCATGGGGGCAGAACATCATCCCAACAGAATGAGAATATGGAAAGTGTTCCTTGGAAATGTCTTGTACAGCTTCTTAAAAAGAAAGGGTGTGCATGTACTCAAAACATTATAGAGGAGAGGGCAAAGGGAGGAAGGAAGATACACAAAAATGGTGGTGAGAAGTGGCCGTACTCCAGACTGTGAAGGTCTAGACACTGTTGCTCTGGGAGGTGGGACAATTTTCATTTAGCTTTTTCATCCTAACACATACTTGTAGTGGTTCCTGATTTTCTATTATCCATTCCTGGTTTGCATTAGGAAACTTAAAGAAGTTTGGTAAAACCAATCCAGAAGTGGGGCAGACCCAATTACGGTTAACTTACATTTTGTAGTGGTGTAAGTAGATCAATCTGAAATCAATTTACCTGCATAGGTGCAATCCCCTCATGTGGACAAGCCTTTGGAGGACTTGTGCTGAGAAAATGTGCTGCTTATAACTCTTTCAGAAAGTAGTTTTGAATTAAGTGAATGGAACCTGATTCCATTAGAGAAAATTAAATGTCCTAATTAAAAGGAAGTATTTTAGATCAAGGGGCATGTCCCACAAAGCAAATTAATTTTAAACTTTGATATGGAAATATCACTAGCTTTAATTTTAGAAATGAAACTGGAGGCTGGAAGAGTGGCTGTAAAATAAGATGCAAGCAAATAAACCCATATTTAAAAAAATTAATAGTATCTTTTGAGTACACCTTGAATATTGCAATAAAACTGTAATAGGAATGCTCATAACATGTAATGCATTCTTAAAGAAGCAGAGTGCAGCTTTGCCAGATCGTACATATTAAACTTGTTTTGCCTCTTGTGATTGCCATTTTAAATACCAGTCTTGGGTGGTGGTGTTTTCTCATTGGGCTTGCTTCACCTTGCTAACATAACAGTTTCATGTAGATATTAGGTTGTGCTCAGTATCTCCTCTAGAGACATAAAATTCTGACAAAGTTTCTGTGTCTGAGAGTGAGAACCGAGCCTCTCATTGTTTACAGCACTCAATCACATGCAGTTTTATTGGTGTGCCCAGGGAGACATTTTTGTATTATACTGACCATGTTTAGACACTGAATGGGATGTCACTGAACACACATAAAATGAGTTTGGATTTATCACAAGAGGGAGTCTCATACTTACAGCTCTAGTAGTAATGCTGCCAATAATTCCTGATCATTTCCTATTCTTTGGATGAGATACCACTCTAAAAGAATTCTGCCTTGCTGCAGGTGATGGACAGACATACTGACTTGCATAGAAGTGTGATGTGCATACAGCCTGAAAAGCAAATGCATCAATTGCTTTTTGAGTCAGAATAACTTCGGGTTTGCATAAGTGAATGCTTCAGTTACTGAGGTTGAGATTTTCACATTTTATATAACACATGATGTGTTTTTCCTATAAACCAAAGGAGCGGGATTCTCTTACTATCACTCTTCCTGTCCTCCCTTAGACTGCTGAGTTACAGCTCCAACTTCTACTCTTTCCTTATTGCTTAAAATATGTTTATGCACATGGGTTTGACTTTGCCTTCGTTTCTCACATTCACAGATTTATAGAATCATAGAATAATTTGGGCTGGAAGGGACCTTACAGATCATGTAGTTACAGCCCCCCATGCCCCTGGCAGGGTCCCCTTCCCCCAGCCCAGGGGGCTCCCAGCCCCGTCCAACCTGGCCTTGAACCCTTCCAGGGAGGGGGCAGCCACAGCTGCTCTGGGCACCCTGGGCCAGCGTCCCACGACTCTCACGGGGAAGAACTTCCTTCTTATATCTAATCTAAACCCACCCTCTTGCGGTTTTAAACCATTACCCCTTGTTCCACCACTAGACTCCCAAACAAATAGTCCCTCCCCATCTTTCCTGTAGGCCCCCTTTAAGTACTGAAAGGCTGCTATAAGGTCTCCCATGGAGCCTTCTCTTCTCCAGGATGAACAACCCCAACTTGCTCAGCCCATCCTCATAGGGGAGGTGCTCCATCCCCCCAATTATCTTTGAGTCCTCTGTACCCACTCGAGCAGGTCCATGTCCTTGTTACGTTGGGGGCCCCAGAGCTGGCCCCAGCACTGCAGGTGGGGTCTCACGAGAGCAGAGCAGAGGGGCAGAATCCCCTCCCTCGACCTGCTGGCCACACTTCTCTTGACACAGCCCAGGACACGGTTGGCTTTCTGGGCTGTGAGTGCACATCGCTGGCTCATGTCCAGCTTTTCATCCACCAACACCCTCAAGTCCTTCTCTGCAGGGCTGCTCTCACCCCACTCGTCGCCCAGCCTGTATTTGTGCTTGGGATTGCCCTGACCCATGTGCAGGACCTTGCACTTGTCCCTGTTGAACTTTGTGAGGTTCTCATGGGCGTTCAGGAGCACTTTATCACATAGGTATGCCCTGTTTGGCACCAGCAGAACTGCATCACAAGGCAATGTTTAGCTCCACAGCAAGCTCGCCTTGAAAGCCTGACTGGCGATTTCAGCAGCACTGTACCAAGTGCCGTTAGTTTCCAGCGTTCAATCCTGGATGGGTCTTGTGTAGGTCTCGTGCACTAGGGTAAATTTCCCCTGAGAAAAGTAAGAAAGCAAGTGCAAGAAAATCCAGTTGTCTGATATTAACTGATAGTTGGCATTATGGATTTCTTCTCCCCTGGAATTTCATTCCCGAGTGCACATACATGAATCTTCCTTCTTGCATTATGGCAGTAATGCAGTGAAAATTAGGTGATAGCTCTCTGATCATATTGGCTCAACTAACTTTTCTCACTCTGAAGTATTCTCGAGTGGTTCCCAAAGGCACGCAGGAAATCACTTCACCCACTGCAACCTGACGCTTGTGAGAGCCAACAGAGCCCAGATAGCTCCAGTGAGGAAATGCATCACAGATTTGTCACATCACATTCACGTAGGAGAAAGTCAACACGTTTGATTTAATTCCAAAGTATTGTGGCAGAGCCTCCACTACCTCTAAATGTATTTCTGCCAGCACTGGTCCCAGTTGCATTCAGGTCAAATACCTCCTAGGGATTGCAGACTGTCCCCCGCTTTTCTTGGGCTGCTTCTATTTGAGGTGGCTCAGTGTGGCAAACAATGCTGTCAGCTCAACATCCACCTCAGAGCCGCCTCAAAATATTTAGGTACTTAAACAAATAAGCCTACAGTCTTGGAAATAGGTCATGATAAGTACATATAATTTACTCAAAGTATTAACAGCTTGAGTTTCTCGTAACTGTAAAATATTATCTTTCGGTCTTCATATATAGCTCAGAAAAAACTCTGCCAAATCAGTTTGGTTTGTTTTTTGTTTTTTTTTTTTATCCCTCAACAAGCTGCAGTGAGAGGCACCCCTGCAGAAATAAAATTGGCCAAGCTAAAGGATCCAGTGACAGTCATAAAATTTGTGAAACAAATGCCTGCCCTTTAGAAGTGATGGGTTTATTCTTTCACAGCTTGGTTCTTTCTCAGGAAAGTTATTGTCTGCTGCTGTACTTGTTCTTTAAATTTCCATTTTGCAAATGTTTTCTCTACATTTTTAATAAACAGGAATTGCACCTGTCACATGCAAGAGAGAAATTACATTTATTCCTAAAAAAAAAAAAAAGGATTCTACCCCTCTGACTTCTCAGTAAATAAAAGCCGATGGGCTATCACAGTCCTCTACAGAGTGCAGTGGAATATGTTATCCCTTAGGAATTTTTAACGTAAAGTGATCTTCGTTTTGAAGAGATATAGTCCAAACTAGTAAACAATAACTAATTAATAAGATGATAATAGCCTAAAAAGACATTTGTCGAGCATCAAATTGCAATTTAGCCAACCATGCAGCACACCAGTTTTAGCATTAGGTACTGTCCAAGCTGCAAGCCAGGAAGGTACCATTTCCCTCTCAAGTATTTCTGCTTCTGCTACAGTTACTGAATATTCATTTTTAAGCCAGATGGTCTCTGCTTGTGATACTATTAAAATCCCTTAGAGGAAAAAAAAAAAAATCACTCTCATTAATGTCCAATGGCAGGGATTGTTCTGCTTCGTATGACTTCATTACGCCATCAAAGCAGAGACTTTTCCAGCATAACAGTGTTATAAAATTCCCCAAAACCTCCATTATGACAAGCTTGGTAAACGTGTCATATAAAGTATTTGGTTCTCTCAGCCACCTCAGACTGGTATTTAGGAAGGCATTGTGGAAGGAAGACTGTGCATCAGATCTTGTCTCAGCTGTCATTTCCGAAGACGTAGTGCCACAAAAGTGATTATTGACTGACAAACTGAAAAAGAGTAGGATTAGTGACCCTGCCAGCCTGTAAAAGTGGAGGGAAAGGCTTCAGAAGCACAGGATAGAAATCAGCCAGTACAAACTGGTTCATTTCTTTCATATGTCAAAATAGGCTCAACTTTAGTGTAATTTTCCTATAACATTTTAAAAGAAATGCTTCCAGTCTGTAAGTGCTGCTAGAAAACCAGCTCTAAAGAACCTGGATTCATCATTCCTGCCAGAGGACACAGTCATGCAGGTCTTATTGCGACATTCCTTATTCAAACTGTCCCTTTGGCACGGTGAATGTAGAAAATTCATTTCATCCTCCCCTCCCCGAGGTGTCAGAAGACAAACACATCACCACACAATAATGCCAGCTGTAGAGAATAAGAATAATTAAATTCTACAGCTGAAAGCAGCAATTCATCAGCATCAACATCTTCCA